AGGGGATCCCTCACTGGCCTCCAGTGACGAAGAAGAATCAACTCAGCCACATTGCCTGGGTTCAGCCGTGCACTCTCAGCCCACTTCTGGACGCTTTTTTGGCACAGAAAGCTTTAGCAGTGATGCGGGGAAAACAAATGTGGCCTCACAAGAAAAGAGGCAGCTATCCTTTGTGGAGGGGACTCTCATCCCATTATGTGCCTCTACCTGTGGGCCCTGGCACACTGCATGGGTCAATAGTACCAAAGGATGTCTGCGTGTATGTGGACTTAATTTAAGTAGGAATCAGAATACTTCTGGGCCAGATTTACAGTGTGCCTGCATATATGCTTGTGCACACTAATACAGTACAAAAGGCAAATGTGTATCCTTGCAATTGTTCACTTGCACACCGCATTTTAAGGGTAATCATGCAAATATTGTGATGCAGAGAAAGGAACTGCTTTCCCCAGTGTTGGACCTGCTGTCCCATTGGGCAGTATACGCTGCCCCTTACAAGGTTAAAAGGGAACACTTAAATTACTTGACATCATTATTACATGACTTAAAATCTTTCTTTCACAATCTGTAGATCCGTATCAGATACTTGGACCGACCAGCAGCCGACTTGCAAATCCAGGTGAGAAGGGATTTTGCTGATTTAGGAGGATTTCTCTTCACTGCTAGTGTCCCCGCTTCAGCTTTAAAGCCAGATCTGGGAGGTGATGTGACAAAAACTCTTCAGTATGACTCAGTGGGAGCTGATGATACCCGATGTGCTGCACGATTAGGTTTCTAAATTGCACAAGGGTGGGACTGAGGTCACAGGTTAAGACACATAAACTTATGTAGGTGTCTACATATGAGCTAGATGCCTCATTTCCCATGGTATTCATTGGAGACATAGTGAATATAGCTCTCTGTAGAGAGCTATTCAAATCATCCTAGAGTAGATAGTTACATTCAGTCAGTCAAATACCTCATTAAAGCTCTTTGAACTCCACTTATCAACAGGAGTTCACTTCAGTTGCCTAAACACAGGGATTTTGTTAAGTGCTGTATGATATCCCATCTGGCCACCAGGTACCCCTCCAGAAGGGCATGAGTCTCTTACAAATCTGCATCATGTGTGTCCCAGATTCTTTTAAGCCACAATACAGTGCCATACTGACCTTGACAAATACAAAATTTTGGGATAAATAACCCAAACCGTCAAAAATATATAGGGAAAAAACAGGAAAGCATAATCTGTTTGCAAAGACTAATTCGGTTAAACACTTCAGAAGTGTTCTCCCACTTTAAGAAGGTGGCAATGGACTGCATGTGGACAGGGGCTTGTACCATATTTTAGCTAAAGACAGGAACCTTCTTGGTTAGTTAATAACACTGATTGTGAACTGTGAAGATTTCGCTGTTGCTGCTCTGAGTCCACAGGACACACTGTGGCCGTATGCCACCATAATCAAGATCACAATCTGCCACAATGGATTGACATTGTATATGCCACTTCCTATTTCCCTTGCTTTAACATCCACAGGGCACAGTGTTCCTTGTTCCACATTGCAGGTCTCCTCAACCCCCAGTAATGATGTTTTTTCTTCCAGCCATTGTATGGCTTTTCAAGGCATGAAATTGCCAAAATACTAATCCATTTCCTTTCACTTTATCCCAAGTGACATCGAGCACAGTTCTATATTAGCTTACTTTCTAAAGTTTTTCGTGGCATAGGAAAGCAGTTAAGTAAGTATTAAGAACAGGATTTTCTAAATGGCCTAAGGCGGTGGGTTTCCAGATGTCACTGATCTTAACTGGAATTGGGGGCCTACATCCCTTCAATTTGTTCGTAAACCCCGGCTTTTACAATTTTGTCAAGCGTCCATTTTGTAGACTTCATTAACATGGGAGACACTAACATGATCTGGATTGGAATACTTTTTTAACATTTGTGTATGGAATTCCTACACACCATCATTCCTGTGCTTTAACATGTTCTGTGTGTTTATAAATTGATGGAATTACTCTCTCATTAAAAGGAAATTGACAGCAACCATTTATTTTCATAGGACTATATATTACATTTGGAAGGCAAGTGTTTATGTTAGAACATATGTTGGATTGCTTATTCAAAAAATTCTGTTTTGTCCAGTGCTGAACTGTTTATTGATTTTCAAAGGCTAATCCTCTTGTTATGTTTCTGTGTATTAAAACTTGCATGCCTTGCTCATACCATGGATTCCTTTGTTTGTTTGTTTACCTAATGCATGTTAATGGAACAGAAGAAATTCATTAAGGACATTTTGGATAAATATCATTTAAATGAATATGTGTTTCAGTTGCACTGAAGTATAAACTGCTAATGGATTTCAGATGCTACTCTAGCTTGATGTTATAATTCACTACTATAAGCTTTCTAAAGAAAAGCTTGTTTATTATACCCACATATCTGGCTTAGAAAAAAAAAAGAAACCAAACTGATTCCTGGTCAGAGATGTACTTAGAAGTTAGCACATACAAGCTGGTTGGCAAATTCTGCTGACATTGTGCTTGTGAAACAGATTGCCTTGCAAGCTGCTTCAGCTGTATTTTGCATCATTCCAGTGCTGCTTTATTAAGAAATGCTAAGCTTTTAACATGAATATCAGTGGCAAGGCCCTCTGAAGTCTACTTTCAATTACCTAAAATGGTCAAATTTTCTTCCTATAACTCTGGGCAACACACGTCTGCAAAGTTGACAGTGGACTAATTGTTTTCTTTTTAAGATTAAATTGGCAGAAGAGTGAGAAAATAAACAACAGCGTTTTAAGTCTTAACTTCAATAATCATTTACACTCGTTTGACACAGAACGATGACAAGAATGTATTTTATGGATCTTTTCACTGTTCTTGCAAATGTTTTGCCCTATGGTTGTATGCAATGCAACAGCAAGCTAATAAGTTTCCGTTCTGCGTTTCCCCAAATTCTGCAAATGGATGATATGGTTTGGCAGGAGCCCAGCTTTCTCTAAACTTCTCCATTTTGTGTAGGCTTATTCCACAGAAGAGAACATTTAGTTGCAACATAATGCTGTGAGAACAAGCAAAATGTTACGCAAGTGAAAGCTGTTTGTCCTGAACTTTAGAGATTAGTTTCCTAAATGAGTGTTGTATTATTTCCTCATCAATTGTCTACACTGAATGACATTAGGTAACTATTAAATCTCCATGTAATGGCATTCTGCCACTCAGATGAGGGAAAACATGACACATTACCATTATCTCTGCACTTTAGGATTTCATGAGACCAGGCTAGGAGAAAAGGGACTTGTTAAGAGTAAGAAGTAGGAACCTACATTGCAACATTTCCTAATAGGGTCCTATGTGGGGGACTGGAAGAATTGATGTCTTAACATTATTAGTCACTAGTCCTGACATTTCTATTTCATTTCCCCCCACAGGGAGTGGGCAGATACAGCTATGGCAGTTCCTGCTGGAGCTCCTCTCGGACAGCTCCAACTCCAACTGCATCACCTGGGAGGGCACCAACGGGGAGTTCAAGATGACCGACCCTGATGAAGTGGCTCGGCGCTGGGGGGAGCGGAAAAGCAAGCCTAACATGAACTATGACAAACTTAGCCGTGCGCTTCGCTACTACTATGATAAAAATATTATGACTAAGGTTCATGGTAAGCGCTACGCTTACAAATTTGATTTCCATGGAATCGCTCAGGCTCTCCAACCTCATCCCCCAGAGTCATCCATGTACAAATACCCATCAGACCTCCCCTACATGAGCTCCTATCATGCGCACCCTCAGAAGATGAACTTTGTAGCTCCCCACTCACCTGCTTTGCCCGTAACATCGTCCAGCTTTTTTGCTGCACCTAATCCATACTGGAATTCACCAACTGGAGGTATCTACCCCAATACCAGGCTGCCAGCTGCTCATATGCCTTCTCATCTTGGCACCTACTACTAAGCTGGGAAAAAAGGAAACGCTAGAAAAAGCAAACAAAGACACTTCTCGCTGGGATACAGTCCCTGATGAATTGCAATGAACTCTATTGGAGTACATGAATTCAAAGTGCCTAAAGAGACAAGTGAAGGTTTGGCTGGGAAAAAACACATTAAAAAATAGGTGTCAAAAAGACTCTTTGTAGTAGGGATTTAATGGAGATATTCGAGAAGTATTAAGATACTAAAATTTAATGTATATGGGCATCGACTCTGTGGACCAAAAAACAATGGACTATTGTAGGTAAAAGCATGAAATGATAAGGAAAACCTACGAAAGCTAGTGGTCTTAAAAAGTTGATAAGCTTATGTGTAAAGTTCGATATCTTGCTAGTGCAAAACTGGGACTATACTACAGCAATATAAGGATAAGTCTATAGTGACCTAACATACAATATATGAATCATTACAAAAGAGGGGGCAAAAAGGGAAAAAAAAAAGGAAAAAACCTTACCTGTATTTAAAAACAGAAACATATCAACAAAAGAGACTGGTTTAGTGTGGAAGCTGATTTGGAATATAACAGCATTGTTTTAGTTAAAATCAAATGCGTTCCATTCATGAGAGTGTAATCAGCTACTCAAACTGTGAAGACAACCCAAACTTCAAGATTCCTTGACGATATTACAGGAACCCTGAGCCAAACATTGGAAATGAGAATGTGCTGAAGGGCAAGTGTATGATTGTAGATCAGAGGCCTGCACCTGACAGAGGAAGCAGAAAGGAGGAAGAGGAGGACAAAGGTGGTGAGAATGGGACAAAAGAAACTTCTTTACCAGTAGAGGCTGAAAAGACTGAAAACTTACTAGTGTTGGGACTATGAAGAAACACTTGTTTGGACTTGTGAAACATATTGCTCAGTATCATACCATTCCCAGTATTACAGGAGGAACAGACTTGATTTTATAGTAATTAAAAAAAATGAAAAAAGGGAAAAGCAGAAGAATTCAGAAATCATAATATGCATCTCTTTAAAAAAGAAAAAAGTAAAACTGGAATTGTATTTGATATTTAAAAGTTACCAGTTAGAACCTCATCATTATTAAGGGAGTTTGTTTTCTATTGGTTAAAGCAAGAGACAACCCCTGACTGCCAAAATCAGAAATCATCTAAGTATTTTTGTTAGGCGGGCGCCAGTTTTTCTTTATCGAGTCGCGAACGCTGTGCGTTTGTCAGAATGAAGTATACAAGTCAATGTTATTTTTTCCTTTTTATATAATTATTATATAACTTATGCATTTATACACTACGAGTTGATCTCGGCCAACCAAAGACACAAAAAAGGGACAATCAAAAATATTGTGGCCTTGAATTTTAACTCTGTATGCTTAATGTTTACATTATGAACATATTAGTACTTAGAATGCAGAATGTATGTAATAAAATAAGCTTGGCCTAGCATGGCAATTCAGACTGACACAGTAGTTTGCATTTGCATTTGCATTTTTAGTGCCTGACACGCCTATCAGATCTCCTGCTCACCATGTTAAAATATGCTAGGCATTTTGGTTTAAAATTTTGTTTTGTGAAATCTGTCAATCATGAAAATGTAGGACCAAGTAGCAATGCTTAGCCTGAGTTCAAAGTGGACAGGTGCTGTCTATATTCTTTTCCAGACAATTCTGCTAAAATTCTTTAACAGTGCTTTGCCATTCCTGTCCTGATCTTCTTTTGCCCAGAGATTGCAACTGTGCCCAATTCTTTGACAACTTCATGGCCAAGATTAAAAATGAAATATAAAGGAGGCCTCTAAGGAACAATGCTGATACACAGAAATTATCTTCTGTTGCCATCAGATAATGCAGCATAATCTCAGCCTGAGATATATTTTCATACTGAATCATATGTTGAATTACCATGCCCCACTGCTATTAATACATACTGTATCATTATTAGTAAATAAAGTGAATAATGAATAATTTCCATTATTCCTCACTTTAGAGCTTGTTAATTTGTCATTGTAGTCCATCCTGGCTATTTAAAAAGGGCAGGATGTTTTCTTTCTCTTCTAAATTTAGAGGCTTCCCACACTGTACCCTGGGTCCCAAAACTACATCTGGTGCCTAATGGCATGACTCCATTTTTTTGCCATACCAGCTAAAGAACTGGTCTGGAAAATCAGCACTGACATTTATGAGTGGCTCTCCACAGCAGGCAGTGTTTACTGCAGAGACCTCGGACAGCTCAGACTTCCAACTGTATCTCTCTTTTTGCTGTTCTTTTGTCTTTTTCAGACAAAATGGGTGTGATTTCAAGTTTTATAGCAAATGTTCTGCATATCAGTTTTGTGGAGCATTAATCGGTGCTGTGCAATGGGAGCCTACTTGCCAGACTCTCATGTTATGGGTGTCTTGGTAGCAGTTTATAAGCAGGGGATTATGCTACTAATGTTTGAGACCTGAGCAGTGGCATCATAAGCCTTGCAGTCATTTGGGAAATAAGCACTGTATGTCTCTATCTCTTAAAATACAAAAACACAGAAAGGTTAGAAAAACTGAACTCTTGGAAAAGGTTAGTCACTCACTCTTTCAGAAATTTATGGCAGACACAGCTAAAAGCTGACTATAAGAATAACAGTTTGCCTTTCAGTGGAAATACATCTACAGATGCTTGCTATCTACTTCATGTGCACTTCCAACTCAAAAAATGGTGAGTGTATTGTTGAACCACCTTTTAATTAAACACTTAAAAATCCAGATAAAACAACCATCTTTGTTTAGATTGGCAAAGACATGCCTGGAGGCCTCCAAAGCATCCCCAGTGCTCACAGAGCTGCCTGCAGGATTTCACAATTGTGTTGCCTGGATGCTATCATGTTCAATGGGAAGGACATCCTAACATTCAAAGAAAGGGTCCAAATCCTGGGGCAGGGATGGAATCACAGCAGATGGCATGATGGAGACCCCTCATAATGAAAAGCAAAAGTAGGCCATGGGTAGCTCACTGGCAAACCAGCCCAGGACACTCATCATAGAGCTACACCTTTCCCCAGCACCAGCTCACAGCTTTCCAGGAGCCTTGGAAAACCTTGATTTTGCAACCCTGAGGATGAAGAGGAGTGAAGGATGGAGAGACCCCACTGCTGCTGCATTGGGACATGTGACTCTACTACTTGCAGGGCCTCCCTACCCCAGGGGGAGCAGCCACCCACAGGGTAGAGGGCAAGAGCCAGACCAGTGTCCCAGGGCACTGGCAGAGGCAAAACAGGCAGTGGACCCACGGTAGTGTCTCTGCTGCTCACTGCCTGCTACCCAATCTGGCCCTGCTACTGGGAGCCAGGAAGACCAGGGGGAGGCCAGAGTTTTAGGGGTTGGTTCCCAGTTCAGATGATGACAAGGGATGGGCCCAGTATGGCCAATACACTTAGGGAAGCTGAGTAACTCTTCATCCATGCGATGAGAGATATTCAGGTGAGCCAGACCCCAAGACCTTGGCTATACATGCCATCTGTTTTGCCATTTAAGCACCTGTATGCATGGACAACGTGGCCTTGATGAGTGCACATTTGTACAAGTTGGTCGTGTTGATAACTTTGCCCCTTTGGTTTAATTAGGACTTCTTTTAAAGTCAGTTGTCAGTCAATTCTCATACCTTATTACAGCACTCTGAGGACTGCTCTGAAAGTAGAAGCTTTATTTTTCCTGAAATTTGGAGATATACATGTGTGCTTATCTTTCACCAAGAAATACACATCTGTCTCAGAAGCTACACTGTAACATGGAAAGTGATACTGAGAAGTTTGAAAAGTAAAACTAGGAAGCTCAAATTTCATCATTCTCAATCAAAGTATTTCCCCTGATATTAAATTTGGTTTAGTGAATATATAAAAAATGCCTTTGAAGGATATATTTTACAACAATTGTATTGTGAGTCTTAAGGGAAGATCGACAGAGGTTAGGACAGCACAGTGCCAGCTGTACTGAACTTCTTCGTTCTCCACACTTTCCACATTCAGAACAGCCCATGTTGAGTACCTGAAACACCACATGCTTTTTAAACTGCCCACAGAAACACAGGAATCGTCAGTGATTTAGACTTTCTTCTGCAAACCCTTCTTGCTCAGACCGTTTCTTACACCAGCTAAGACTTAATTTTAAAATATTTTTTTTAATTACAGATGCATTAAAGAAAGGTAAAAAACCCACTCTACCCTATATTACATGATTAATGATCCCATTATCTTTTCCTGTGCCATCTTCTCAAGGTTTGGGCATATCAGGGGGACGGCCTTGAGAATAGTCTCTGCTTACCTAAATCTCTGATAAGTCAGAATGGCACCTCATCTGTCCAAAGGCTTCAGTTAACTCATGCCTGAATTTTAACTGCCTACTGAAGCAATCCTGATGCAACAGAAGTGCTTAGTTCCCTTAGTGGTCGGTGGGGGGAGCCTTCAGATATCTTCACAGCTGATCGTGCCTTTGTTTGGGACCTACATTAAGGAGATCAGGTGCTACTATGGAGGCTCACAGTGGATTGTGGTTAGTCCTTGGGCTTGGCTGGGACCTTGCTGACCATCAACAAGACAAGCCCTTTGATGAGTGACAGGTAACCCAGTTATGCAGCAGCAACGTCTGGTGGAAAAAACAGAGCTCCCTTGTGCTTTCTTGGCAAAGATATTTCTTTTTTTTCCCTCGCTGGAGTTATCACACCCCTCACTGTGTTGGCCTGTTCGGAGTGCCCTTCCTCATCGGATCTTGGCTAAAAGCTCACAGCCCTTAGGATTCAGAGGAGGCCACCCTCCAGCACTTGGTGTTACACTGAGGGAGGCAAGGGCTAAGGAGCCCATGAAGCCTCCCCCTTAGTTAATTAGCACTGTGGCCCTCCCTCCATAATGAGCACTGCATGTACACACACACCTGGTCAAGGCATGAAGCTCTTGGCTATGCACTCCATCATGCCTCTCACCTTCTGCTTATGTCTTGACCTCTGTGCAGACCACTTGAGTGGGTCACACCAGGATTTGAGCAAGAGAAAGCATGAAAATGAAGTCTGGGTAAGACACACCATTTTTAGGAAGCACATGAGGCAGCTCAGAAGGCTGTCCTGGCTCCCTGCTTCTTTTCAGGCTTCAGCTGCAACCTCCAAAGTGGCTTGGCTCCACCACTTCCCTTTCGACAGTGTGACTACTCCTTTCAAGGCACTGGCAGCTGAGACTACAATGAGAGCTTTGCTTGAAGAAGGGAAACTACTTGGTTAGATGGTTAATGAGGCTTTAGGCCAACTGGAATGTGGAAAATTATTCCAAAATGTAATGGCCGTCATTGTTTAAAAAGACACAAATTTTCAAGAAAGTTAAATAAAACAGCCAGGCTTGTTAAACTGAGATGTACTTTTAAATCAGTGGAGTGAGGACTTCCCAAAACCAGGCTCAGAAAATTTCTTGGATCATGTACCAGAATATTGGGCCATCTATATTTTATAGAAGAAT